TGGGCTGTGCAGGACCCCCCCCAGGAAGGTGCTGCCCAAGGCAAACGCAATAAAAGCCTGATGGGCGTCTATCACCTCCACTCTGTCCAACACTAAAAAAGACGTTTTAGCTAGAGCTAAGGGCCCACGCGGAATGCATTGCACTGTTGTGCGCAGACAGGTAACAGTGCTGATGCGCCGACTGCGGAACTTTGCACTGTTTCCTTTTTTTTTTTACTTTATTGAAATGTCACAAGCGACATTTTACATTTTATTAATTAATATCGGCCACAGCGCAGTGCAATCGACATTTGTGAACTCAAATAAAACTCGAATAGATAATTTATAACCGAGGATCACCATACATGTTATACTCCATACTGTACAATCAACGTTAGATAGAATTAGATTTACCAAACCTATGTCATATGAGGACCTACCCAATCTATCCAATCAATCTATATCCAGTCACACCGGCCCTGGCACTACATGGTTGCTGGTAGATCTATAGGAGATTGTACAATCAGATTGTAAGGTTTGTGCCGAGCTTAAGTATACAGAAAAGCATACTACAAATCCTCTCCTCTCAATTTTGATTTTAAAACATCAATTTGTCTTTCTTCTATCAGATTGTACAGTACGGTTGTGACATTGGCCATCTTAAGAAGCCAGCACGTGATCCAACTTGCCGGCAAACGCGAGGAAACGAAATATCGCTCTTCTTCAGAAACCGCCTTTAATCCCATTTATTTGTATTAAACGGACAAGAAAACAGAAACCCCGTGAATTGTACTCACCACCTCTCAGGCTCCACGGCACGTGTATATAAATGTCACAATTTTCTCTGTGTCACCGCCATCTCCTCGTCCTCACTACAAATAGCGCCGGACGCAGAAGGAACCTATTAATCTACAATAAAAAGTGGGAAAGGTTCTTTTTTTCCCCGTCTTACCTTTCACATGGAGCGGCCTGCGTCTCCCGGCTCCCTCCACCTACTTTCCTAGCGGGATATAAATAAAATTCGGCCCTTTTTTTTTCCCTTTAACACAAAAATCTCCTTGTTTGGGGCCTGAAACTGGATCCAGGAGAGGAGAGAGGAACAGGCAAGTCATTCTCTCATCCTCCTCAACCTGGAGGGAAAAAATCCTCCGTCATCCATACACACCATCAGCACACACACACACCTACACGGAGACGACTCAGCCAGCATCGTGCGCCTGCAGGGAGAGGTTGTTGCCCTTAGCAACCAGATTTTTTTCCTTCCCATTCCTCCATAGTGCTCTAGGAAAAGGTCTAGTGCTCTAGGAAAAGGGCAGAATCTGAATGGTTGCTATGGGCAACACTGTGCTACCCTATAGGAAAAATTAGGCCCAGTATGGCCAATGTGGGAACAGGGCCGGCCTTCGGCCTTTAGGCGCCCTGTGCGAAAAAGCTTTACAGCGCCCCTCAGTGACCACACCCTTTAGTGGCCACACCCCCAGTAACCACACCCATTTATTACCCATATTTTTGGTAAAATATAAAAAGCGGGGTCACGTCCGGTACATAGACACCAAACATGTCATGCTTTAAAATTGCGCGCACCCGCGAAATCGCAAAAAATTACCATGCCAAATGGTCCACAGGGAACATTGGACCTCCATTATTACATTAAAGCAATAAAGCTAAACCATTTTGGATAGAGAACAGGAGGGTTAGAACCCCCAAGGGGTATTTACTGCTGTATGTGTGTCCCCATCAAAACTGGAGTGGACAGAACATGGAGCAGTTACCCATGGCAACCAAGCAGCTTCTAATTCTCAACTGATTTATCTTGGTGTGATTTTTGTTTTTACATCTCAAAAACCTGGTATGTTTACAGGGGTGTGTAGACTTTTTATAAGCACTGGCATCCTCCATATCTCTATTATGACCTGTACTATACATTTATCGGACACCAGATGGATAACTTGAGACAGATAAAGGACAGTGATGGTAAGTTGTGTAGGTTTAGACTGCAGGAGCACTGTGATGGGTGGAGCTGAGAATTCCTGTGTTGTATTACTCACAGACCAGGATCAGGTGTTCCCAGAAAACCAGACTACTGACCAGCATATGAATATTCTAGGTACATGTGCAGTAATATTTTACCTGCTTGTAGGCCGAACATGTGGCTCACTTTACAAATTCTTTAAGGATGGCATAAGATTATTATATGAATTCTGAAACAGAAAGACAACACATGAGGCCATTTTGTTCAATTTTCCTGAAAATGTTTATTATCAAAACCAGATTTTTTTTAAACAATATTTACACATTATATTCATCCACACGATAGATTACCATAAAACACAATGGAGGGAATTTATCAAAACTGGAACACAGAATCTGGAGCAGTTGCCCACGGCAACCAATCAGCTTCTCTCTTGATTTGCTCAACTAAGATTTGAAAATGAAAGCGAGAAGCTGATTGGTTGCCATGCACAGCTGATCCAGATTAGATACCTTCCCCTCTCTGTACTGTGATTTCAACACAAATCTCCATGATGCTTTTTTATTTGCATCAGTTACATTTGCACTAATTGTTAAACTTTTATTCCCAGAGATTGTTGCCTTTGCAGAATTTTTTTTTAAACATTTTGCTAAACCTCTGTGCCTCAGTGTTGCTTATCCTGAGACGGCGGGGACACCCTGAGGCCTTGCTCACACCAAGCGCGTTCCAGGAGCAGAGCAGTTAGATACCGGATCAAAACTGCGTCCAATGTATTCCAATGGTATTTTGGGCTCTAGTTCACACTGCAGCCTTCAGTTACAGAGCATGTAAAAAAAATGCAGCAAGCCCTATTTTACCTGCTCTGGAACGCATCAAAAACGCATGCAAACGCCCTGGAATGCACTGAAAGCCCATTTTAAACAGAATTTTTTTTTTCTTTACCAAAAATGGCCCGGAACGCGTCAAAAACGCGGCACAACCCACTGTGCAGAAACTCATGCAGATCTGGTCTGCATTTGGTGTGAACAAGCCCTGAAAGCTAACTGGTATTACAAAGTAAAAAAGTATCCCCGGCAATGCTTGACTGCGTAATACGGCCACAGTCACCTAAACAGTTCTGTTCTCTCTCCAGATGTCATTTTTTTTTAACGCGTATCACTGCCGGTGGGTTGGGACCTTACCCAGGAAAGACATGATATAAGCTGAAAAGGCGATTAAACCGTGAGCAAAAAACGTGCTTCGGAGGCATTTCAAGATAAAATCCGGGGAAACTTTTATTAACCCTTGCAGTGGGGCTACCATCGAACTACAAGGATTAACTGCGCTCATTAGTAACCAGTGCGAAGATATTGGCAGCTAAAGCTATTTGCAAATCTTGTCCTTTTCCTTCTTAAAGTTCTCAGCTTGATCCCACCTGTTTAGCCTACTGACCCTGACCGATGGTCCTGGTATAATGATGGACAACCTCACTGACTGATAGGGTGTCTCAGGAAGCTGGAGGTATTGGGGTCACACTGACTTCATACCGGCAAGTTGAATTTTGGATATAACAGCAGCTGACAATAGCACAGCATTCTCGCCACTGGATGGAGCATAGGAAATCTCTATACTCCTCGTCTCTAATTTAGATTGTAAGCTCCTTGAGGGTAGGGATTGATGTGAATGAGTTCTATGTAAAAGCGCTGCGTAAATTGTCGGCGCTATATAAATACCTGTAATAAATAAAATAAATCTAGTGGCGAGAATGCTGTGCGAACGGAATTCAGCCATTTTATGTTGGGGTGGATGATTTCTAAATAGGGATGCACCGATACCAGTATCAGTATGGGTGCCTATCCCGATATCGGAACTTCCGGTATCAGGAAGCTGGGTGGTGAGTCATTACCCGCCCCCCAGCTTCCTGATTGGCCGGCTCCATGCTCCCTCATCACCTGATTGGTCGAGAAGCTGGACAATCAGGAAGCCAGATGGCGAGTCATTGATCGCCCCCCCCTCTTCCTGATTGGCCAGAAAGTCGGCTCCATGCTTCCTCGTCATCTGGTGACGATGGAGCATGGAGACGACTTCCCGGCTAATCAGGTAGCCGGGCGGCGAGTTATTGCAAGCCACCCAGCTTCCTTAATGGGACTTCCAGTATTGGTATTTGGCATCGGCGAGTATCAAAAACAAAACAAAAATATCGTTACTCGATACTGACAAACCGATATCGGTGCATCCGTATTTATACGTCAACCTGTAAGTCCCGTTCACACCTCAAAGCAAAGCGCAACAAAACACTCAAGACAAAGATCCCATTCGTTTCTATGGCCCCTGTTCACACCCGAGTGTTTTGTTGCAAGTAGAAAATAGCTGTCATCAAGGAAACTGGGCGGCGTGTAATGACTCCCCGATTAGCTGCCAAGCCAGCTACATCATCACCTACATAGATCACAAGGAAGCATGTAGCATGTAGCCTGCTTTCTGGCCAAGCCGGAGGGCGGGTAATGACTCCTGATAGGCCAGCTTCCCGACCAATCGGGAAGCTGGGCGGCAAGTTGAGCAGCTTCCTGATTGGCCGGGAAGCTGGCTCGATGCTACCTCGCCACCAGGTGAAGTATCAGGATGGGCATTGGGAGCATTTATTTTTTTCAGGTATTTACATAGCGCCGACAATTTACACAGCGCTTTACATAGTTGCCCTCAAGGAGCTTACAATCTGAGGTCCCTATCTCACACGCATACATACAGGGCCAACTTAGACAGGAGCCAATTAACCTTCCAGCATGTCTTTGGAGTGTGGGAGGAAACCGGAGTACCCGGAGGAACACACAAGCACAGGGAGAACATGCAAACTCCTCGTAGATAATGACCCTGGCCGGGATTTGAACCAGGGACCCCCAGTGCGGCTAGGCAGAAGCACCAACCGCTACACCACTGTGGGGGGGAGCAGTGTACTGGATTAGCCGGCAGGTTCTGGAGGGGAGGTCAGTACGGCAGCTTCTCAGGAGCGGATCCACTAAAAACAAACATTCTCCTGGTGATAGAGAATTCCAGATCAGCTTCATGTCTGTTACGGTAAAACCACAATCTTCTTCTCCAGCTTCTGCGGTGGGAATAGATGAGCTCTCATGATGGAGTCCAGTTCCTCCAGGCCTAGCTGGGCATGAAGAACACACACCGAGTCCGCCTCGCACTGGACCACAAACTTCAGCAGGCGGTACAGCTCCAGGAGAACGTCACGTAACACCTAGAAGAAGAGAAGACGGGAGGAAAGTTTCTTTATTCTATTAGGACTACAGAACACCTCCCCTTTATGTTCTAGAGCAGAAGAGGTGGGAGGAAGTATTTTGTAGTTATTTTCTTTAGTCTGTTACATGTGGAGTAATCTAGGATTACACCTGGTAAGTCGGACTTTTATAAACCTCTATATTGCTTAATAGACTAATGTTTCTTACCGTAGAACATTATTATTGAATTGTTTCTGTAGTCCTATTACAATTCCTGTCCTAGGGTGACGGGAAGTTAGAAGTTTACTGGCTTTCTGGCATTTGTTTTTTTTTTGCACTTATCAAACAGATATAACAAAATGCTTCCAACGGTGTAGTAAACAGACAAAAAATGGAGCAGATAAGAGAAGTTCATTGTTACGGTCAGGGCCGGAGTAACATAGAGGCTACTGGAGAGCTAGCTCCAGGCCCACCACTGAACATAGGTCTGGCTGGCCCGGATCTCCTTGGTATGTTTGATGGCAAGCTAAGCGGTCAACCTGAACACAACCAGGCAGAGGCACCGGCAGTTGTCTAATCAGGCATAAGAGGCAGCCACTCGCTGCTCCCCAGCCTAATTAGAGAGCCGCCTCTGCTGCTTCTAGGGTTGCCACCTGTCCGGGATTCACCCGGACACAAGATGTCACAATGTCAGGGGGACAGGGGCAACCACGGGGTCCTGGTGTTCCAACTTGAGTGCACGGAGGAGGCAAGGGACTCGGAGGGACACTGGAACTCAGGGGACAAGAAGTTACTTAAAGACAGGGTGCAGATAAGTCTTGAAGGTCACACTCTCATGGCTGTCTCTCCTCTCTCTCCTGGCTATTTCACCTCTCTCTCCCCCTGGCTGTCTCTCCTTGTTCTCTCTCCTGACTGTCTCTCCTCTTTACTGGCTGTCTCTCCTCCCTCTTCACTGGCTGTCTCTCCTCTCTCCTGACTGTCTCTCCTCTCTCTCTCTCCTGAATGTCCCTCCTTGCTCTCACCTGGCTGTCTCTCCTCTCTCTTCACTGGCTGTCTCTCCTTGCTCTGTCCCCAGGCTGTCTCTCCTTGCTCTGTCCCCAGGCTGTCTCTCCTCACTCTCTCACCTGGCTGTCTCTCCTCTCTGGCTGTCTCTCCTTGTTCTGCCCCCTGGCTGTCTCTCCTTGCTCTGTAACCTGGCTGTCTCTCCTCACTCTCTCTCCTGGCTGTCTCTCCTCACTGGCTGTCTTTCCTCTCTCTCCTGGCTATCTCTCCTAGCTCTGTCCCCTGGCTGTCTCTCCTTGCACTCCACTGGCTGTCTCTCCTTGCACTCCACTGGCTGTCTCTCCTTGCTCTCTCACCTGGCTGCCTTTCCTCACTCTCTCCTGGCTGTCTCTCCTCTCTCCCCACTGGCTGTTATGTACTAATGGTTCAAGAATGGGGGAGGGGGGTTAAATATTTCACATTTAAGGGAATTTAGGGCAGGGGTAGGTCAAATCCAGCCCTCCAGCTGTGGGTGAAACTACAAATCTCATCATGCATCTCCCTCTGGGAGTCATGCCTGTGGCTGACCGTCTTACAATGCCTAATGGGAGTTGTAGTTGCACCACAGCTGGAGGGCTGGAGTTTGCCTGCTCCTGGTTTAGAGTTTGGGAACTCTTTTCTTTCTGCTCCTTCTAAAAGCCAAAAGCCCAGCGCCAAGAACAACGGTACCATGGCCTGGATTCAATGTCCATCTCCATTCCAAAAGCTTGTCACTTGTACCTAGGAAGCTTTCAATGTCATACATGGTGATCTCAGAGAAGACCCGGGTCCTGGCAATGTGGGGGCGGTTAT